CCCACAATGTCAGCATGTCTGAGGGCTGCTGTTGCCTCCTGGACTGCTTTTCCTGGCCTCCATTTGCGTCCAGTTGCCAAGGTCGGCGCGTTGTTGCTCACCACTGGGTCTCGAGATTCATTCAGTGTCATCTGGAGGCTGGTTTTTGCACACTTGAATTCCTCGGTTAGACTGGTGAGGGGCAGCTTGAGGACACCATCTCCATAGAGGCCTATGGTGGTAAGGCATCGTGGAACTCCGAGCCACTTCTTTAAGTAGCTCGTGGCTCCTCTTTCCATCTTCTCCACTGTTGAGATTGGAACCTCATACACTGCTAGGGGCCACAACACCCGGGGTAGGAGACCAAACTGCAGACACCAGGCCTTTAACTTTCCAGGTAGCTGGGTGTTGTCGATGGACTGTAGGCTACTACTGATGTCTTTGCGCAGCTGTTGCACCTGGTCTTTGTCCTTCAGGCTTGCATCATACCACCTTCCAAGGCTTTTTACCGGCTGCTCAGACACTGTTGGGATTTGGTCATCTCCGATGAAGAATTTCAGGTCACAGAGTACTCCTTTCACAATCGAGATGCTGCGTGACTTGGATGGTTTAATCTTCATACGGGCCCAGCTGATGTTCTCCTCGAGTTTTCTGAGCAATCTCCTGATGCATGGGACAGTGGTGGTCAATGTTGTAATGTCGTCCATGTAGGCTCTGAGTGGAGGGAGGCGAAAACCAGAGTCGACTCGCTGTCCACCAGCAACCCATTTTGAGGATCTGATAACCTCCATTGCCATTATGAATGCCAATGGAGAAATGGTACATCCCGCCATTATACCTACATTCAGGCATTGCCATGAGGTGGTGAACTCTGAGGTGGTGAAGCAGAACTGCAGATCCTGAAAGTACGACTTCACCAGGGTTGTGATGGTGTCCGGTATGTGGAAAAATCTGAAGGCAGACCACAGGAGTTCATGGGGCACAGAGCCAAATGCATTGGCGAGGTCGAGGAAGACTACATGGAGGTCCCTTTTCTCCACCTTGGCCATTTGGATCTGGTGCCAGATCATGCTGGAATGTTCCAAGCAGCCAGAGAACCCTGATATTCCTGCCTTCTGTACAGATGTATCGACGTACGCATTCCTTTGCAGGTACTCGGCCATCCTCTGGGCAATGATCCTAAAGAAGATTTTACCCTCGACATTCAGTAAGGAGATTGGGCGGAATTGGCTGATGTTCACTGCATCCTTCTCCTTAGGGATCAGGACCCCGCCTGCCCTACGCCACACTTTGGTAGCTACTACTGGCTCAGTAGATGCTACTGGACAGTCAGTAGATATTACAGAGTCAATAGTGTCGAGAGGGGGGGGGTTTGGTGTAGAGAAAAATGAGAGAGTTGTGTGGAACAAACAAGCACGGCCTGCCCAAAGAGGACGGAAGAGCTAGACACAGGGCTTCTGAACAAACAAGCACGGAGAAAATAAATTATGTTTGATTTTATACCTATGTGACTTTACCAAAAGAACCAAAGAGTATGGATTCCTGCAGTCACGAAAGCTTCAAATCAAGATTAAGCACGGAGATAGCAAATTTAGTAAAATTAGGAAGTGTAATGTAATGCAACACAGAGTTGGTTAACACACAGTTAACGCACAGCTTGGTTGATTACGTTCTTCCAAAAATTGCTAAATTAAAAGTTAAGTGCGAAACAAACAAGCACGGCAAATCCTCCCCGTAGAGGTGGTTAAAACTAGATTCGAAGCTTTCGTGACTACCGGAATTACTCTGGTTCTTTCGGTAAATTCACGTAGAAATAAATAAAATCAAATAATAATAGAATGCGACGTTTCGATTGCAACCCTATATATTAATATAGCGCTTAGAGAATATTATTGTAGCGCGGCCGGGGGGATCGGCCCAGCCCCCAGTCTACCAAGGTTCCACCTCGGCTGGCTGGGCAATCTAGGGGCTCTGCACGGGACTAGGCCTCACCACAGCAATGTTAAGTAAGTTATATTTTATTGCTGCTTTTGCTCAACTCACGTACATAGAAAACTGATTTAAAAAAAATAAGCTTGGAAATATAATAATCATTCGGTTTGTGTACAGACAAGTAATTTTTTTTATAGCTTATTTCGCTAAACTCACGTTCATACAAACCTATTATTTAAATCATCACCTTGTTAATATTTAAATAATATTGTTTCATAGCAGACAAATATTTTTTCTTTTTCTTGCTTCTTTCGCTAAACTTACACACATTCAAACCTATTTTTTTAATAATCACCTTGCATTTATACAAATATTTATGTTTGTGTGCGGACAACCCATATTTCACAATTTACTTGCTTATTATTATTATTCTTATGTGTGTGTGTGCCTATGTCCTATTGTGCATGTGAGTTGATGTGCGTGCCTGCGACGATTTGTGTGTGTGTACGTCTGTGTATGTGTATGTATGTATAAGTCGATGTGTGTGTGTGCAAGTCGATGTGTGTGTGCGTGAGTCGATATGTGTGTGTGTGTCAGTCTATGTCTGTGTTAATCAATGTGTGTGCGTCGTGTGTGTGTAGACAACTAATATTTCACAATTAGGTTGCAATTTTTACAATAATAATGTGTCTAAGTCCATGTGTGCGTGTGAGTCCATGTACGTGTCAATGTGTGTGTGAGTTGATGTGTGTGTGTGAGTCGATGTGTGTGAGTCCATGTTTATGTGTGTTAATCGATATGTGTACATGGCTCCATGTGAGTGTGTACGTCCATTTCTTTGTGTATTTTGTAGCTCCGTGTGTGTGTGAGTCGATGTGTGTAAGTTTCAAGAAAAAAAGAATTGTGTGTGCATGTCAATCTATGTGTGTGAGTCGTTGTATGTGTGTGTGTAAGTCCATGTGTGTGTGTTACTCGTTGACCTGGTCAAGGCCTATGATACCATCAGTAGGCCTGGGCTCTGGGTTGTTCTTCGTGCTTTCGGAGTCCCTGACCCTCTGCTCACGATCATTAAGGACCTTCATGATGGTGATCGGGCCCGGGTAAAACTACATGGCCGGGAGTCAGAGCCTTTCCCTGTACACCTTGGGGTGCGACAGGGATGTCCTCTGGCTCCCACATTATTTAACATCTATTTTTACCACGTAGTTCATAAAGCCTTCAATAGCTGTACCGGGGGAATTTACATTTGGTAAAGATATAATGGGAGGCTGATCGATGCCCGAGTGCGGTCAAGGGATGGCTCCCTATTGCTCAACCATGTTATGTATGCTGATGATCTGGTAATCGCTGCTTACTCAGAAGAGGAGTTGGAGGCGCTGCTGCTAAACCTGGAACTGGCCACTAAGAGATGGGGCCTTACCATCAGCCCCACCAAAACTAAGCACCAGCCTGGGTATTTTGTACCATCGGACACTCCACCCCCACAACTCCCAATTGGATATGGGGCAGTTGTGGAGAGAGTGGAGAGTTTCCCATATCTAGGCAGTGTGCTTATGACCGGCTCCGGTTTAACAGCAGAGGTCTCACTCCGAATCAGTCGAGCGACATTATATTTTCATCGGTTGTGTAACGATGTGTGGAAGCTGCCTGGTCTGTCGCTCTGCACGAAGCTTCAGGTCTTCTCGGCCACAGTCATTCCCTCCCTTCTCTACGCTTGCGAAACGTGGACCCCCCTAATGGAACATCTTCGCTAATTAGAAACATTTAGGCTGGCCTGCCTACGATCCATCCTGGGTTTAACCAGGCTGGATTGTGTGAGGAGCTCACAAATCCTTGAAAGATCTGGACTAAAGTCCCATCGGTGAGCTCCTTTGGCAGGCAAGGCTGCGTTGGCTGGACCATGTAGCCCGCATGCCGAGTCACCGCATGCCTAAACAGCTTTTGTTCGGCTGAATCGAGGGGGCTAAACGGGCACGGCACGGGCTAGAGAAGAGATGGAGTGATGTGGTACAGGAGGATGTGGAGCTGAGTGGACTTGCCGATGACTGGTACCAGCGGTGTCAAGATCGGCCTCTGTGGAGGAGGCTCGCGAAGGACGCTACTGGGCAGTTGGAGGCAGTCGCCCTCCAACAACAACGGAGGGCGGAGGAGCGACGCTCACAACAACGAGCGGAGCGCCGGGTGGCTAAAACACAGCAAGTTGGCACAGTAGGGAGCATAGGTGGTGCATCAGCCAGTCATCTCAGTCAGTTGACCCGTGGCACCTGGGCCTGCCCCGTGACCTCCTGCCAGCGGGCGTTCGACACTTCACGTGGCCTCAAGGTGCACATAGCCTGGCACAAGCGTCGTGGTGATGTCACCGCCACTTAGTGGCGAATGGCGGTTGTTGTTGTGTGTAAGTCTGTGTGTGTGTGAGTCCATATGTGTGTGTGTGTAGGGCGTTGTGTGTGTGAGTCGATGTTTGTGTATATAAGTCAATGTGTGTGCGTGGTGTGTGTGTGCATAGACAACTAAGATTTTCTAATTAAGTTTGTACATTTTTGAATATTTATGTGTGTGTCTAAATCGATGTGTGCGTGTGATTTGATGTGCGTGTCTGCGTCGATGTGTGTGTGTGAGTCAATGTGCGTGTGTTTAAGTCGATCTGTATGTGTGTGTGGGTCAATGTCTGTAAGTGTGTGTAAATCGATCTGTGTGTCTGCCTTTTTCGCCCGGGCAACGCCTGGTACTTCCCGCTAGTGATTTATAAAAAAGAGTTATTGTGACTACGAATCATGATAATTGAATCGTGGGGTGGGGGGGTCTGGTTGCCTAAGAGCGTATATGTCGCTCTCATTGACTGAGCAAATGATGGGGGCAGGGTATGCGTCCTCGTCCAGCAAATGCTGCGTGTTCTCACTCATAAGTGCTGTTTAGACTTTTGTATAAAAAATAGTAAAAATGTTCTCCAGGATAAAGAGCGCAATGAAGAATCAGCGTATGAGTGCGTGATGATTGCATGAGTGGGAGGTTGTGAGAAATTAGTTCGTTCAATGAGTGTCAGCATGTGGCGGCGACCGCATGACGAGAGAAGAGTGCGCGACACTCACATGCCCGGCTTCGCAGGTCCCACAGCTTGAGCGTGCGATCGTGGCTGCCCGATACAATCTTCACAAAGTCACTCATGAACTTGGCGCTAAGCACCTTCCCCGAGTGACCAGTCAACGTGTGCTGCACGGGGTGGGGGTGGCGGCGGAGGTGTGGGAGGGTGACGAGGGGGGTCGGGAGAGGTCAGCACAGTGGGCACGGGAAGGGGGCATGATTTGAAGACCGTGGGTCATTAGCACGGCCGCTCTGATGGATCGTTAAAACACCTTGGTGTGGAGTTAATAATGACCTGGCCTGGATCGATTCTTTCATTGGTAATTTTTTAAATTTATTTGTACGCATGCAATACACGCTTCGGAGGTATGCGTGACAAATGATTACTCACAATGCATGCAAATGACGTGCAAATGCGATGCTGATATGTGTATGTTGACAGAACTAAACTGTACAGGCATGAAAAAGCACAGAAGTAAATTTTGATTTAAAGCTTTCGTGACTGCAGCTATTCATCTTCTTGGTTCTTTCGGTAAAGTCATGTAGAATGGAAATAATAAAATAATAAAAATAAAACATAATAAAATAATTATCACGACGTTTCGGCCACAACGCAAGCAGCTGTTCTCAGGTGAAGAACAGGTCTGTCAGAAAGACAGCGTCTGAATGAACACCACCAGGCTTGGCAGCGTATATTTAAGCTGGGTTGGAGAGGGAAGAGCGCCTTGACAAAGTAATTTGCATATCAAGAGGAATTTAGCATATTTATGGGAAATGCAGGTATGTGATTAGTACTACTTATGCCCGTGCATTATGCAGGATTAGCAGCATCAAAGGGAGGGAATATGGGAAATGCAGGTATGTGATTAGTACTACTTATGTCCGTGCATTATGCAGGATTAGCAGCATCAAAGGGAGGGGATATGGGAAATGCAGGTATGTGATTAGTACTACTTATGCCCGTGCATTATGCAGGATTAGCAGCATCAAAGGGGGGGGATAGGGGTAGCATTAATAAAGGGAAGGAGTGTTAATAGTATGTAGCTGCAGTAAGTAAAACCACCACGTAAACAACTAAAGTATAAACTACATAGTATCATCAGTATACTAAATATACTCTACAATAAGCTGAGTTACTAACAGTAAGTAATACATTACAATTCTACGTCGTAAAAAATATAATATGCTTCCATCTAAAACTTTATTCTCTTACATCACACGAGTCTACACCGTACTATATACTGCCATAGACAAACCCAACATTAAATTGTATACTGTATTGCTATAAACCACCCTAAACCTTATACATTGTAATATTAAACTATGTATTATTCTACCCACCCTAATGTATATCACACTGCTGTATATTCACTATACAATTACGATACTATATATTACTTTGTACATTGTATTAAGCATATAAATTTGATACTATTTGTTATTATACACTGTACCATTGACCGTCGTGTGAAAGATACTAAGAGGAAGCAACGAAATATGTCAATGGGAGAGTAGTGGTTGGAAACTTGCAGCGGAGCAAAGAATCCATTCCCTGCAAAGAATACAATGCCAGTGAGTGGAACGCGGTCTGAAAGTCACCGTAAACGTGAACACAATCAGTTAAGATCCGAAATGGTTTATTACGTCCTTCCAATGATTGCTAAGCCAGAATCCATCTTCTCGGTTGAAATTGTCTCTGTGTTTGTATATGTGGATCGCCTCATGAACAAATCTCTCATGGTAGCCAGATGGCTTGCAGAGAACCTCTGTCTTGGAGATGTCAATATCATGTGAGCCCACTGAATTGTAACAGTGATCTGCCACGGCTGAGGTGTTTGTCCTACCGTGTTTCAAGTCTGCTTTATGTTCACGGATGCGGTCCGAGACTTGTCGTTTGGTTTCTCCAATGTAACTGCTACCACAGAGGCAACTTAGTTTGTAGACGCCAGGGTACTGTATGTCTGGAACCACATCTTTTACAGACGGGACCAGATCACGGATTTTATGTACTGTGTTGAATCGGACCTGGATCTTGTGTTTTATCAGGATTTTAAAGATCTTTTTTGTGACCCCAGCAATGTAGGGTAAGGTGATGGTCTTGAAAGGCTCCTCAACAGGATCCTTCTTGATGGTTGGAGTGATGGCTTTGCGGATTGTGTAGTCAGAGTAACCATTAGCCTTAAGAGCTTGGCGTACGTGTTTGAGTTCACTGGCAATGTGTTCTGGTCGGAGATGCATTGGGCTCCATGGTATAGAGTCTTGATGAGAGAGTTCTTCTGGGATGGATGGTGGTGGGAATCCGGTTTTAGGTAAGCATCCGTATGGGTGGCTTTCCTGTAGACAGAATGGCTCATTGAACCATCAGGTCTCCTTTTAATTAGGACATCCAAAAAGGATAGCTTGCCATCTTTTTCGACTTCCATGGTGAATCTGATGGCTGGGTGTATGGAATTGATGTGGCCGAGAAATTGGTCTAGAGCAGGCCGGCCATGTGGCCAGATGACAAAAGTGTCATCTACGTACCTCTTCCATAAGGTCGGGCGTAGAGTGGCAGTCTGGATGGCGTCAGTCTCAAATTTCTCCAAACAAATTGAGGGCACCCCAATGGGCTCCCCCCTATCTCCGGTTGTAGCCAACGTTTTCATGGAGACCACATCCGTGAACATAAAGCAGACCTGAAACACGGTAGGACAAACACCTCAGCCGTGGCAGATCACTATTACAATTCAGTGGGCTCACATGATATTGACTTCTCCAAGACAGAGGTTCTCTGCAAGCCATCTGGCTACCATGAGAGATTCGTTCATGAGGCGATCCACATATACAAACACAGAGACAATTTCAACCGAGAAGATGGATTCTGGCTTAGCAATCATTGGAAGGACGTAATAAACCATTTCGGATCTTAAATGATTGTGTTCACGTTTACGGTGATTTTCAGACCACGTTCCACTCACTGGCATTGTATTCTTTGCAGGGAATGGATTCTTTGCTCCGCTGCAAGTTTCCAACCACTACTCTCCAATTGACATATTTCGTTGCTTCCTCTTAGTATCTTTCACACGACGGTCAATGGTACAGTGTATAATAACAATTAGTATAACATTTATATGCTTAATACAATGTACAAAGTAATATATAGTATCGTAATTGTATAGTGAATATACAGCAGTGTGATATACATTAGGGTGGGTAGAATAATACATAGTGTAATATTACAATGTATAAGGTTTAGGGTGGTTTATAGCAATACAGTATATAATTTAATGTTGGGTTTATCTATGGCAGTATATAGTACGGTGTAGACTCGTGTGATGTAAGAGAATAAAGTTTAGATGGAAGCATATTATATTTTTTACGACGTAGAATTGTAATGTATTACTTACTGTTAGTAACTCAGCTTATTGTAGAGTATATTTAGTATACTGATGATACTATGTAGTTTATACTTTAGTTTTTTACGTGGTGGTTTTAGTTACTGCAGCTACATACTATTAACACGCCTTCCCTTTATTAATGCTACCCCTATCCCCTTCCTTTGATACTGCTAATCCTGCATAATGCACAGGCATAAGTAGTACTAATCACATACCTGCATTTCCCATATTCCCTGTCTTTGATGCTGCTAATCCTGCATAATGCACGGGCTTAAGTAGTACTAATCACATACCTGCATTTCCCATAAATATGCTAAATTCCTCTTGATATGCAAATTCCTTTGTCAAGGCGCTCTTCCCCCTCCAACCCAGCTTAAATATACACTGCCAAGCCTGGTGCCTGGTCATGTTCATTCAGACGCTGTCTTTCTGACAGACCTGTTCTTCACCTGAGGACGGCTGCTTGCTTGTGGCCGACACGTCGTGATAATTATTTTATTATGTTTTATTTTTATTATTTTATTATTTACATTCTACGTGACTTTACCGAAAGAACCAAGAAGAAAAAAAAAAGCACAGAAGTAATCGGACACAAAAGGTAAACACGTGACACAAAATTATACTTCTAATTAACCGAGGTCAAAAACTGGGGTGATTCATAGAATCACGAGTACACACAGCCACACGCACACACATGCACGCTGACACAAAGATTCCCGTGTAACCTATAGAGGCTGTACGGGGAAGCAAAGTCAGCAAGTAGCACCTATCAAGGCCGACACAGCGCATGAGGTGAGTGGTGTGTCCAGCACCACGCCCGATTGACTTTGTCTCCCCGGTGCTGATGTTTTCCACACTGCACCAGGTACTCATTTAAGGCTGAGTTGACTCAGGGGAAGTCCAGGATCGGTTTAGATATTAGTCACCGACGTTGGCAATGAGCGGCAATTGAACTCGGGCCGCCGGGTTTGTAGCAGTGCACTGATCATGCACACACTACACACACGTACATGCACCACCTTACCCGCAGACGGAAGTCGTCCACAGTCCAGATGCGGCTTGCAAAATCACTGGAGGAGGCAAGGAGGTAGGTGCCCTATATGGGGACACAGGGACATACATACACACACGGGGACATGGGACACATGGGGATGCACGGGGACGCACAAATACACGTACGCAAGGGGACACATGGGGACACACGGGAACACATGGGTCACACGACAGCAGACGAGTCAATACTCATTGTTCCTATGGGCTGAAAATGCCTCCTTTAGCAATTTCCCCTTGCTGGTGCCATCTCCTTGATCCCCTTAACCCACGGCAGGCGCCATCTTTGTACTCCTAATACTGAGTAGCAGCACGGCCCCCTCAACCTCATCGCAGTGCCAATTTTATCCATAACCCCCTGGGACAAGCACCGCCTCCTTTAACGATAACCTCTTGTGTCAGTGCCGCCGCCTCGACCCATAATCGTAACCCGTGCCGCGAGTGCCAAACCCTGCAGCTGGTGACAATGTGGTGCCACCCACCGTGTTGTCAAAATCGAGGCTGGTGATGCCGGCGTTGCTGCCGGAGAGCGTGCCACGGCACTCCGTCTTGCCGGCTATCACGTCCCACAGCTTCACTTTGCGGTCGGTGCCGCCTGTCACCAGAAGCCGTGAGTTAGGGCTGAACCTCGTGGCGTTCACCTCACCGTCGTGGGCGTCCTGAACGCCGTCGGGCACAGCACACATGCAGCGACCACATCCACTATTCCACACCTAAACCTCATCAATGCAGTCGGGCACAGCACACACGCAGCGACCACGCCCACTAGACCACACCTATTACACACACAGCAACAGGTCAACCGTATCAGATAACCCACTCGCAGGACCCACACATTAAACACTTATTACACACCAACCATCTTGACCGCACCACAACATACATTACACTCAAAAACCACACCAACTGCAACATAGACATTATGCACACTGCACACCACACAAATTACACACGCAGCACAAAACAAATCGTTTCCAACCACAACCACACATAACACATGCAGAGATGTTACCCCAATTATTTCAAGAGTCGGAAGCTGCAGCACTCGGTGATTCATCAATGCATTGCTACACGGCCATTTGCTTACCTTTGCTATACTTTGCTATACTTTGCACCCCTATCGTATTTTTGTATTGTTCGTCGTTGTAACTTTCTGATCCTCCCCTACTGGACATCTGTGAAAAAAAGCTCATCGGATTTTTCTCCAGGATGAAGCATCAACGACCTCTCACTGACCCCCGCTCCCATCCGCTTCCTACACTCCGCCACCCCTTCTCCAACCTTCACCAGGGGGGTCGGTGCCACTGCTGCCCCCCCGGCCACGACGGCACCCCCCCTCCGTGGTGCGGATCGACCCCCCCTCCGTGACAGTGCCATTGGGTAGCTTGGTGACGCTGCGCTTCTACACAGACCCACCCAAATCGCCACACCGAGACCACTGCCCTTGTGCCCCCCATGCCCTCCTTGCCCTGTGTCTCTCTGCCCATGCCCCCTTGCGCCCATGTCTAATTGCCCTGTGCGCTCTTGCTGTGTCTCTGTACCCATGCCCCATTGCCCTGTGCTCTCTTGCCCTGTGTCTCCGTGCCCTGAGACCCCGACTCACAAACTTGCAGATTGCCCTCTCGGGCAGGCGGGCGGCGAGACACACGGAGGAGGGAGCGACCTGACCCTCGCCGGCGCTCACCACTGACGAGGCTCTTCTCTTGCTACAAACACACAAGTGCATGCACACACACATTAATACACATACAAAGGTCTGCTCTATATGCATACATGACATTAACACGTACACAATGACGCAACAAGATCCCTGATATAGCCTTAACCAACTGCTGGAGCAAATGCTGTTAAGCGAGCAGCTATGATGGTCGACACAATATATCAGGGGCTGATGTGGCTTGTACCACCTCTAGCCGTCTTTATCTTCCTAGTGGCGATATTTACAAGTACGCACACATGCCTATACACACACATGTACATGGACACACAAACACAAGTATACATGCACATTCGTGTGTGTACATGCATGCGCACACTGTACACACACAAAAAGCACACGAACGTGTGTACAGAAAACTGTTCCATCTCGCGAATTCAACTATCGCGGTTCTGTGGAAAATTACTAAGGTATGGTTTGCCGATCACACCCTTGTGGCTCCAACATTCGCGCTTGACCACGAGATTCCTTGTATGCATTGTAACTGTACTGCTCGCGATTATGCTGATGTGCCATCTTGTCTCCGTCTCGTCTCCCACGCGGCCCACTGTGGGTCCCAGGCCACGCAGTGTTCCCAGCCTCCAATGAGGCAGCCAGGTTCAGCCACATGATTTTTCTTCCTGTAGAGTACAGTACTGTACACAGATACGTTCAGTGTACAGTACTGTACGAAGATACATGTACCGTGTTGTATAATATACTGTACCGTATTGTACACTATACTGGAGGAAGGGCCTTTGCTATTGATGCCCCCAGGGCCTGGAATGCTGTTGCCAATAAACTGCAACTTCAATCACTACCTATGAGATATTCACTCAAAACTGCTCTAGAGGAGTTGTACACCCCTAGCTGCCACTGCTATTCAGTGGCCTAAAATAAAATAAAATGTTTCGCTCCGGATGACCGCTGCAAAGTATGATCTGTGTTTTGATTTAGTGTGCTGATCTTAAAGGTGCATTGAAATTTTTTGATACTCCGACTGATGCTCCTGCTATTGTGGAGTGACTCATGCAGCCAGCTGTGGCTGCAGGGTTTGGTGGTACATGTTGTTTATCTCGTTTATTGTGAAAATTCGGTCATAGTTGCTATGATCATTGTTACATTGCTTTTATGTCTTTATTTTGGTGATTTCGAAAAGTTTTTTGGTTTGTCCATGTTTGTTTGTTGTAGTACGGAGTTAAAACTGATGGCCTTAATCTAAGTTGTCTTGTGGTTGTTGTTGTTTGACTTGCATCCCACTGGGATTTTTGCACACAGCGTTGGTGTATGGTGCTTTTTCTGCAATATTTTGCTGTCTTTTCTTGGATTTTCTGCTTGCACATAGTCACATAGTCACTTTAAGATGTTTTCTTGTTGATGTTTTTTGTTTGTTGCGGTTGCACCCGATTCAAGAGCCAAATGGCTCACAGGGCTATACCAAATAAATGAAACTGAAAAACATTATCTTTTGTTTCCATTCTATAGATTTACGGTACAAGATATATTTAACATTGGAAAATAATATTTTACATTCAAAATACTTCCTGTTTAATGCCTGGGATCATGGAGGGTTACATAAAACAAAAGGAGGGGGAGTGTCATATTACAAACCGTGAACCAAACCCTAATTTTCCCCGTAATGCCTTTGAGTTTGCGGATCGCGGTTTTGCCGATTGCATCTATTTTGAATGTATACCCCCGATGGACAAGGGTTTGCTGTACACACAAATGCACACACGTATGTAAATGCACATGCACTGACACACACGTTTGGCACGTACAGCACAAACGCACACACAATTACATATGCGAGAACCATATGTATGCACACATGCACATACACGCACTTGCACACACAAATTCACACAATGCACATTCAAACGATGGCAAAAGTTATCTCACACACTCACGCACGCACCAGCATGCAGGGAGACACGTGGTTAAGTTGCACACACCTGGCCATGCATACTGGCGTCCCAACAGGGCGGGGACACAGCCATGCGGGGGCGCATTTGCCACCTGTTGTAGAGGTTCGCGGTTCGAAAGTAGCGGCTGCCCTCGTTATTACTTGGGGCACATTATTTGCCATCTGCTTAACAGTGGATGTTATGGATCCAGTGACATCATGCGCAAAACTAGGTCGTTGTGTGCTGGTGTCATTTGAAAATGACATCCGCATATAACTCAATTGGAATAATACAGAAAATACTTGGCAGTCCCGAAGTGAACCTTTTCTGGGTAAACAAGCATAACAGTGTTAATAAAGCACACTTAGGAGCAGCATGCTGGGGTAGGACAATGGGAGAGTGGTGGAGAAAGAGGCAGGAGGTTTAGTCCTAGCATTAGGATGCGAGTGGAGAGACAAGGAAGAGAGAATGGGACATAGGCTGGAGTTGAGCGTTAATGTCAGAGTCAAGGGAAGTGGAAGAGAGACAGGGAGGGGAGTGGGAAAGTAAGGGCGAGTGGGGGAAATGTGGTGTCAGTGTACACCAACACACATCACATTCCCCACATTTGGCATTGCTGCTGCCTCTGTGCGTACATGTTCCATAAATGTAACATTAAAGAATCAGTCAACTGCGACTGTGGTAAAGCCCAAACCATCAAACACAATATCGACGAGTGTACCATCCACGCACACCCTGGTGGTATTGCTGCAAGCCATACAGCATCTACTGCTGCCTTAGATTGGTTGAAGGATCTTAGGATTCAACTATGACATCAATACAAACTGTTGCTTACATGCCATATGAAACAAGAACTGCTGCCTCTCAACACAAACGTCACTGATAACAGCAATAATCCACAGGCTATTGTCAATGCACTGGTGCTGGATGAAGGCTTCTCAACGCTGTGTCAGTCATGGAAGTAATCTGACCAAACTTCATTTTTATATAAAACAAGACAGAACATGTGAGATACACAACACAAATAAGACAAACAATATCTATGAGGCAGTACAAATTGTACAGACAAATCAGACGATGTAAAATGACAATGTAAAAATAAGACAGACAACACAAATTAGACAAATGGGAAAATACAAATGCTACAAAAAAAATGGTATAAATGAGAACTATTCATCAGACAATGCAAAGGAGACACTTAATCTCACTCCTCTCCCTCCACCTGCCATTTCAATGCATCCCCCTAAACCCAAAACTAACTCTTAACCCCAACAACTATTAAAGCCATTGCCACCTTCGTCATTAACACAGGGCTGATAATAAGTCATCGGCCGCCCCATGTGTGATGACTCCATGACTTGAAGTCGGGGTCACAACTTGATTCAGGTAGAGAATCTTGTCCCGTTTGCACTGTTTCATTTGTATCACCTGTCTTAGTATTGTCTTTCTCATTTGTTGTGTTTCATTCAAGGGAAAGGAGCGAGAGTAGGGGGAGGGGAATGATGCAGGGAGAGGAGGGAGAGCAGAGAGAAGATGAGAGGAGAGCAGAAGGGAGAAGAGGGAGGGAGAGGAGGGAGAGAGAGGAGGGTGAGGAGGGAGAGAGAGGAGGGAGAGAGAGGAGGGAGAGAGAGGAGGGAGAGAGAGGAGGGAGAGGTCACCTGTTTGCGTGGTGTTCAGGTGCCGCTCCATATGCATGCAGGACATTCACACTTACACGACACACAAAGACAAAAATCCCCCATATATAGCCTACACAGACTGTTGGGGCAAGTGCTGTTAGCATGCACCAAAGGTGGCTAGGTATGGGAGTAGCCACACCACACCTGGATGTTTACACACTGCACCAGGTACTCATTTACAGGTGAGTCAAACTAGGGGAGGCCCAGACCCGGTTCAGAGATTCGTCACCGATTTTGACCATAAGCGGGAAATGAAATCGGGTCACTGGGTTCATAGTGAAGTGCATTCGCCACCGCTCCCCACGATACACACAACCGCCGTTCACCACGAAGTGGCAGTGACGTCACCACGGCGCTCATGCCATGCTAGCTGCATTTGAAGGTCATGTTAAAAGTGTCGAAGGCTCGCTGGCAGAAGGTAAAGAAACAGACCCAGGTGCCATGGGTTGACTGACTGACATGACTGGTTAAAGCACCAACTTTCCTCCCCACTGTGCCAAATTGCTCTGTAATAGCCACCCGGTGCTCTACTCCTTGTTGCGAGTGTTGCTCCTCTGTGCTCTGCTATTGCTAGAGGGCAACTGCCTCAAACTGCCCAGTAACGTCCTTCATGAGTCTCCTCCACAGGGGCCGATCTTGATACCGCTATTAGCAGTCATCGGCAAGTCCAATCAGCTTCACATCCTTCTGTACCACATCAGTCTATCTCTTCTTCTCTAGCCCGTGCTGTGGAGTTTAGCCATCTAACTGGCCAAAAAGAGCTGTTTGGGCATGTGGTGACTAAACATGTGGGCTACATGACTCACCCAATGCAGCCTCGCCTGCCGGAAGAGCTAATTGATGGGTCTGTGTCCAGATCTTGCAAGGATCTGTGAGCTCATCACAGAATCCAATCTGGTTAAACCCAGAATGGATGGTAATGCCCCATATCTTCGTAGCATGCTCCAGGTTCAGCAGCAGCATCTCCAACTCCTCAGGGTGGACAGCAATTACCAGATCATCAGCATACATAACATGGTTGACCAATAGGGAGCCACCCCTTGACCTCACCTGGGCATCGATCAGCGTACCAGATGGAACTTGCACTGGTACAGTCATAAAAAGCTTCTAAAGCTACGTGGTCAAAAAATGTGAAATAGTGTTGGGGCCAGAGGACATCCCTGTTGCACACCAAGGTGAACAGAAAATGGCTCCAACTACTGCCCATGCAGCTTTACCTGGGTCTACCCACCATAATGAAGGTCCTGAATGATTGTGAGCAGATGATCTGGGACTCCAAAAGCATGAAGAATAACCCAGAGCCCTGGCTTCTTGATGGTATCATCAGCCTTGACCATGTCAATAGATAAGCGATGTAGGTGCTGTTGTAATTCCCTAGACCTCTGCTGTAGCAGACGGGCAGAGGAAATGGCATCCATGCAGGACCGCCCCAGTCTTAAACTACATCGGGGCTCCAAAAGCCTCTCCTCAGTATGTCTGAGGAGAGGTAAGGAAATGTTGAATAATCCTTGCTAGGGCCTCACCTGGCCTCACACTGATTGAGATGCTCCAGTAGTTTATTCAATGAGTGCGGTCCCATTTTAAAAAAATGGTGACCACCAGGGTATCCTACAAATACTTTGGAACCCATCATGCGGACCAGACAATTGTAATGATGTTACATAGGGCAGTCTGCATAGACGCAACCCTCCCTCAGCAATTTGCTTGAGAGATCATCTCTGCCCAGCGCTTTACCTGATCTCAAACTCCGAATCGCCCTCCGCACTTCCTCAACAATGGCACACCAACCACTCACACGGAGCAGAGACTTCAACCAATATGTGTGGCACAGCAACCCCAGCAAGGTTCACTCCACTTTGCAGCATGGTGTTGTTTGGAGCCGAGGGGTTTTCACTGCCCTAAGACCTCAAATAAATGCTCAGGAAACCTGGAAACCTGTTCTTGGGGGTCAGAGATCAGATCACCGTTTTTCCATGAAGGATGGTGATAGGTGTGGAGCTGCAAGTTACTTTTCTGATGGAGTTAAAGAGTGAGTTGTGATCGCAGGCCACTGAGGCAAGATTCCATTTCCCCAGCAACCTGCGACCAGCACTCATCCTTGCAGTGCCACACAGCTTTCCGAACAACTAAGCGAAGTCTGCGATAAGGCTCCTCATTATTGGATTTGAGATGTTGTAGATGTTGTGAGTGAGCCTGCTTCTTTATTTCAATGAGCTGGAACACCTCTGTCAGCCAGGATCTCTGGGGAAGCCTGGACCATGTACCAGAGGTGGGACAAAGTCATTGTTATGCAAGTCCAAGTCGAGTCTGAAGTCATCAAATTCATGACTCGAGTCTGACTCGAGTCCAAGTCACATGACTCGAGTCCACACCTCAGAGGTGGGACAAAGTCATTGTTATGCAAGTCCAAGTCGAGTCTGAAGTCATCAAATTCATGACTCGAGTCTGACTCGAGTCCAAGTCACATGACTCGAGTCCACACCTCTGCCATGTACCCAATGCAGCCATGGTAGCTGCATAAGTTACAATCCTGAAACTCACCCATTTTTCCTCAGCATCAGGAAGGAGGGACGATGCCAACCCGAATTGCAAGGAATGATGAAATTCTCACAAACTTCATCAGCTGAGACCAGGCTATTGTGGGTCTGAGTGGGGTCCTAGATGGATGCTTGTCACCACATTGAAAGGATGGTAGGCACATTTACAGATGACAAGCCGATGGTTAGTGTTGAGGTCAGATCCACGGTAGATCCTGATGTCAAGGGTATGGATCAGCATTCACTGTAGTCCAGCAGATGTTTTTGCTTGGACTCGGCATGCATCCATGACGTTGTGAGGATAGGCTGATGTCGAAACAGTCCATTGGTGATTTCAAGCCCATGGGCTGCACAGAACTCTTGCAACCTCCTACTGTTGCCTTCCATTTACTCTCGCCCAAGTGCTTTTGTCATGACCCACTCTGCCATGAAAGTTATCTCATAAGATAACGATCTCCAGGGTCCACTTTAGGCAAGACTTGGGATACGTTATAGAAGGCATCATATTCATCAACCTTGTCAGCTTCCCTTCACTGATGTTCATCTTCAGTGGGTGCATAAACCACCATCATCACATTTCCTCACCTCCTGTTGGGATCGAAACATTCCCACACCTCGCCTCCAAGCTCCCATACCCCCTTCATTTTTTTGTTCAGAATAAGAGCCACTCCCTGTTGTTCGGCATTTTCCTGTTCAGGGTGGAGAACTGTCCACTCTTCATGGTGACTAGAATCATAACCAGTACACCGTACGTCCTGTATACCCCAAACATCAGTGGTACCGGTTCAGCTCTTGATAGAGGAATGGGAACCTCTCCTCCGCAGGAAGAGTTTGGACATTCCACGTGGTCAACCTCAAAGTCGTCTTGTTATTTCTGGAAGAACCCTGAAGGGAGGGGAAGAGTCTGGCTCCGCCAAATGAGATTTGGCCAGAAGGCATCATAGATGCCTGTTGCCTCGGCGGGGCCTCCAGTACAAGCGTTATTGGGTGTTTCCACCATGGTTATTGGTAACACATACATATAGACATAAACAAACTCTGAGAAAGACACATTGATACACGCACATTGTGACAGTACAAACATAAACAGACACGTATTGAGACAGACACAAATAGAAAACAACCGCATGGCTTGTGCCAGGCTATATGCACTGAGGCCACGTGAAGTGTCGAAGGCTCACTGGTAGGTAACAGAAGACCAAAAGACACATGTAGATATGTGCACAAACACACACACCAATTAAACACACAATTTGAGATGCACAAGCATGCATGCGCACATAGACATATGCATAAATATACACGGACATGCAGATACACGCTCACAAAAAAAATAGCTCTTTCTCTTAACCACTCAGCTATACCTGTGCCTTGCCCACCACCATCAAGCTCCTATGAGTAGAGGGACCCCGTAAAGCATGAAAAACCCAGTTGTAAATCTTGATAGTCATATTTAATATGAAACAAAGTTTTGCTCACAAACACAACTTCCATCATGCCTTATATGCATGTTCAATAAAGCAGATATGTAGATGCTGTTGATATTTCATACACTTCTGCTGTAGTAGGAGAGAGAATATGGCATCTGTGCAGGACATCTTGTCCTGCAACTACATTGGAGCTCCACAAGCTGCTCAGTGTGTTGGGCAAAGGCGATGCTAAATAATCCTGATCTGGTGTATACATTCCAATTACTTCTATGCAAGTGATTGAATTGTTATAATTAATAAGACACATTCAGGAATTAAAGTAACCAAGCAAAATGCCTCTATCCTGAGAGGCCACTCAAGCAAGTAAAAGGTCACAGAAGGAATGTGACTCATTAACCCTGCTGTTGTTCATGTTACCCTGCCCTGACCAGAGGACTGTCCACCTCTTGTGGTGACAGGATATGGAACCAGTCCACCAGGAATGGTTTCAGTTTTGGCCACCATCTTGAATTTCAGAAATGCATACACATACACATGATCAAACGATACACATATACAAAGATTTCCCGTATAGTTTCAATAGACTTTTGGGCAAATGCTCTTAACGAGCACCAATGAAGGCCAGCACAATACACGAGGGGGGTGGGTTGCCAGCACTACTCCCGACCACCTTTGTTTCCCCACAGTGGTAATGTTTACACACCACACCAAGTACTCATTTGAGGCTAAGTCGACCTCGGGAAGGAGGCACAGGACCGGTTCAGATAATCCTCATTGGTGTTGGCCATGAGCAGGATTCAAACTCGGGTTTTCCAGGTTTATAGTGCAGTGTGCTAACCTCTGCACTACCACTCCCCACTACAGATACACACAAATAGACACATGCACACATTGAGGCAAACAAATACAAAGATCCCCCCATATAGCATTAACAGACTATTGGGGCAAGTGCTGTTAGCGAGCACCTATGCACGCACACACATACATACATATTGAGATATTGAGTTGTGGACATAGATACACACATACACAGTGAGACAGAAAAATGTACACAAATATCAATACACAAACGCATATATATACACAGGATACAAAAATTAAGATCCTCCATGAACAAAAAAATTGAGACATACATAGTGTGAATTCAGTGTTGCATATGAAGCAATCTGTTGTGAGAGTTGTGACTTATGAGTGATTTCCATTGTGTATTGAGTGTTGCATTTTTGATTGTTGTGTTATAAGTGTGGTAAGCGTTGTGAGTTTTGTGTGCGTGTTGTGAGTTGTATAGAGCATTGTGTGCGTCTTCACGTGTGCCACGTGTCTTTGGTAAGTATTAGAAGCATTGCATTGTGAGCACCATGCACTGACTGACCCAAACATGTTGGAGAGGGAGTCGAGAAGGCCAGGGAGGGGAGTTCCACCAGGGAGGGAGGGGGAGCCCACGGGAGGCCTGATGAACACAAGTCAAGTTTATTTGTTTAAACAGATGAGAACTCAAGAAAACTGGATCGTCTCTTTTTCAAGAATAGATGCTCATATCGACAACACAGCACATGTGCCAGTCTAGGTGCAGTTTGATGCTATCGCGTAAAGCAGATGGTCACCGGATAGACCCAGGTGTTATGGATTGACAGATGATTGGCAATTGCACCAGTGTTCTCCATTATGCTAACTCGCTGTTTTAGTCGCCCGGTGCTACGACCATTGTTGTGAGGGTCTCTCCTCCCGCCTTCACCAGCCCCTTGAACCAAGGCAGATCTTGACACCACTGATACCAGTCATCAACAAGTCTACTCAGCTCCACATCCTCCTGTAGTGTATCAGCCCACCTCTTCGTGCTCGTTTAGTCCTCTATTCAACTAAAAAGAAGCTTCTTGAGTATATAAACCCACCACCATCTACAGAATGCTGGGCCAAGAGTTCTCACTGAGGACCAAAGAAGGCCAATACATCACAAAAGGGGGTGGGTATGGCTATAATCACGCCTGGCCACCTTTGTCTCCCCAGCGGTGATGTATAAACACCACACCAGGTACTAATTTACGACCGAGTCAACCTAAGAGGTCCACGACAAGTTCAGACCATGAACGGGAATCGCAGTACACTAACAAGTCAACTTGTGCTTACCACACACACAAAGACAAACATCCCCCTATATCCATAGAGACTGCTGGGGCTGCTGGGGCAAGAGTTGTTCATGAGCACCTATTCAGGCTGGGATTGCACACAACTTGAGTTGTTCTTCACGAATGATCATAGTTTAATGTGTGGTTATGTGTGGCAAAGTTGCATGTGGTTGCAATTGTGGTTGCAATTGTGGTAAAGCACAGTGGTTGATTGTGGTTGCACGTGGTTGTAATTATGGTTAAGCACGATGGTTGATTGTGGTTGCACGTGGTTGCGTGGGTCTCCGTGCCTCGTGCCTCTGTCGAGTTTCGCTGGTTGTTCACCCGCTGCCGCTGCCCCCTCCGTCGCTTCCTCAGCCAAAACCTCGATATCATCGTCTCTGAGGACAACATCGGATACAACATCATCATCACCAGCGACAGCTACAACAGCATAACTAGCTCTAGTGGCACCGTCACGGTGCTCGGGTAGGGATCAAGGTTCAGAGGCCAGGTGCAACTCACAGGTCAACGTTGACGTGCTCCTGTGCAGCCTCCGCAAGCTCCTTCCTCAGCTTTTCCTGGCGCCGCCTGTAACGCATGGCCAGACGGTCACCTAGCCTGGCATGGCCACTCCTACTCACACGGGTTCGCAGCCCTACCGATACAGCTAGCCCCGAACCCTGACACTGATCCCTATGACCCATGCGGCCAGCCCCTGATCTTGACCTTTACTCCTACCCCTCTCCTAACCCGTGACGTGTAGTTGCTACTTAATGAGTGCCATCTCCTAACATTTCACCCTTATCTTCTAACAACTTTCCCGACATCTCTTAACCCAGGGATCGGCTGCCTGCGGCACCGGAGCCGCATGCGGCCATTTGGCTTCCCCCTTGTGGATCTTTAGCTGCCTCCTTGCACACAGACGTTTAAAAAATAATGTAATCTTAAACCATAATTTTATGTAAAGATAATTTATTAAATATGGTAGGGAATGGGTCAATATGGAATGTTTTTAAGACGACAAAATGTACAACAGTCAAACAGTTTTGTTATCGAATAACTAAAGGGGAAATAACCTAAATCGATGCAGTTTATTCCAACACCTATTTTGTTGAAGTCAGAATGTGCTTGTCATCTGCTGTATACCTGCTGCTGTGTTTGTGTACAAGTGGCTCTGTGTGTGATGCTGCTCTCAAACTATTTTAGTCAAAGACAAAAACAGAAAAATGGCTCTTCTTATTCTTTGAAAACTTGCCGACCCCTGTCTTCCCCTATAGCTGTTAACCTTTGAGTCATATGTCCTAATCTCTGACCTTGATCTACAAACCCTTTAGCTCTATCTTTTAGCCACTTATTCCTATGTCCTATTATCATATCCTACCACCTAAACCACTCACCTCCATCTTACCTCCTAACCCTGAACCCTCCTAACTTCACAACCCTATTTTCTGACCCCTAATCCTATATGCTATCCTCTGACCTCATATTGAAACTTATAACCCCAACTATCCCCAAATCCAATAATGCTGCCCCCCTCTCACCCCGATCTCATAACCCCCATAACTGTGCCCCTCTATCCCCTAATCTCCACCACTCTGCCCCTATTACCCCAATCCGCCATCCAGCAATAACACTCCCTGTGTGTCCCCCCCCCCCACCCGGAGCCATCTCTCCCACTCCTCACCGCGTGTCCTTCTCATTCTCGGTGTTGACACGGTCGGCCTCTATGGCTTTCTCGGCCATCCAGCGTGCCACCAGCTCGCGGTTGTCCTCCTCAACGCGGCGCAGGCGTGACTCGAGTGCGGTGCAAGCCATCTGCAGCGCCTCGTACTCGTCCTTTACCGTCTGCGTTGCCGCCTGCAGCTCGGCCAACTCGGCGCACAGGCGATCCACCTCGGCCTGCAGCCCGCCGGCCCGAACCTCACTCTCTGCCAGCCTGTGGTGCGAGTGTGTGAGAACAAAGGGTGCAGGGGCGCAGGAGCGTTTGCCCAACAGCAATCGGGACACATCACAACAGGTTAGCGTTGAGACAGACGATATATCTGGGGCCACCCCAAGGCAATCGTCGCCCCTTACTGGCAGACTAATTTCTCGATTGCGGACCAGGTGTGCTGCACAGAGAAAACAGAAATTGTGGGTGTAAACTGCGGTCTCGCAAAAACTCCTTGTCTGTATTTTAAACCAGACAAGGCAGTGCAAATTAAATATTGTAACAGATATTAGCTGTGGCCAGAAACCGAACTCAGGTCACTGGGTTACACACCGGACAAATACACATGCCCCATCTTCAGCCTCACTCAGTTAAAGTTCTTATATACGTGCGTGTGTGTATTTTTATGGTGGCAAGATGGGAGCAGTAGTGTAGAGGTTAGCACACTGTCCTACAAAGCTGGGGACCGAGACCGATTACAGCTCACAGCCAACACCAGTGACGATTATTTGAACTGGTCCTGGGCCTCTCCTAGATCGACTCAGCCTCAAATGAGTACCTGGTGCAGTGTGTAATATTGCCACTGGGAAGACAAAGGTGGTCGGGCGTGTAACTGGCCATGCCGGTCTTGCTAGGTGCTCGCTAACAGCACTTTCCAAAACAGTCTGTTAAGGCTATATGAGGGATCTTTGTCTTTGTTTGGTGGCGAGATTGTGTAGCAAAAAGAGGTGCACCCCACCTGGTCTGCATCTCCTGCAACTGCTGCTCCTTTGCCGAGAGCTTGTGGTTCAGCTCAATCACATCCTGCGCCAACTGCTCACGCACACATGCAAAGACAAATACACACACATTCTACAAAGATCCCCTTGATAGCCTTCACAGACTTTTGGAGCAAGTGCTGTTCGTGAGGCCAGCACCACGCCCGACCACCTTTGTCTCCCAAGTTGGGATATTTACACACCACACCAGGTACTGAATCGACCTAGGGGAGGCCTAAGACCGGTTCAGATAAAGTCACTGGTGTTGGCTGTGAACGGGAATCACACACATGCAAAGACCCTATAGACATAGGCTTAAAGCAAGCTGGGGCTAGTGGCGTTAGCAAGTACCTATTAAAGCCATCAAGGTGCACAAGGGGGTGTGTACAATTCCTTTTTTAAAGAGTTTGGCTTCATGTCAAAAGACACCATAGACATCGGAGAAATCCCACCATGTTTACACACAATAAAATACACGTGGAACATTTTATTGTACCCACCCACCTCCCCACGTATCTTGTGCAGCGTAGTTAGCTCCTCTTGGTGCTTCATGCGCAGAGCGGAAATCTCCGCTCCCTGTGACGCCCCGTCATGGCTACTGCTGTGGGGAACATGCACCGGAGGGGGGGGAGGGTGCAGGGGTGCAGTTGGATTGGTGAACGGCGAGTGCACGCACGTCGCCACGTCTGAAAAAACCTCGATCGCTTCACCCGAATTGGATAAGTGGCTCAGGTTCATAATGACCATGTCAGAGACAATTCTAGCTGAGATTCTGGGTTCGAGCCCTGGGTTTTGTCTCTGTCTCTTAGGGGTACACAAAAACCTGAACTGAATTAGATGATCAATTCCGTGACTTTTGGAATCAATAATCGATTCTGAAAGTGGTTATAGAAAAATGGATACTCGACTAAACAACCCTGTTGTGGTTGATAAATAAAATCAAAACACGAGTACAGTTGATATTTGTGCAATTAAGATAGCGCAAAGTCATCAAGGCTCTATGCTTCACAGACGATAATAGCCACAATCCTCCCATGTGCCATGCCAGGCTTCATAGTTGCTCACGAACAGTACTTTCGCCAGCAATCAGTCAAGGTGAAAGCGGGATCTCCGTATTTGTGTTTTACTAGTATGTGCTACGTGTATGTATTATGGGGAGTGGTAGTCTAGCGGTTAGCACGCTGCGCTACGAACCCGACGACCCCAGTTCGATTCCTGCTCGTGACCAACACTCGCGACGATTATCTGACTTGGTCCTGGGCCTTCCCAAGGTCGACTCAACCTCAATTTTAAGTATCTGGTGTAGTGTATAAACATCGCCACTGGGGAGACAAAGGCGGCCAGGCATGATGCTGGCTCTTCACCCCCTCATGTGCCATACTGGCCTACACGGGTGTTCGGTAACAGCACTTGCTCCTATGGGTATGTTGTGTTGTTCTGTGTAAGTTGTACGAGTGTTGTGTTCGCATTTATTAGATGCGCATGCCTTATGTAATATGTATGTATTGTATGTGGTTATTTTAAGTTTCAAAAGTATTTTATTCAACCACGTGAGAACTCAGAGACAAGGAAAATCTGATTTGCACTACACCCGGGTCGCCAAAATTTGTTTGTTGAATATGCTATTGTCTTTATGTTTATATCTGTGTATGTATCTTTGTGTAAACATGTTTAAGGGAGCGGTAATGTAATGGTTAAAGCGTTATGCTACAAACCCAGCGCACCGTGTTCGATTACTGCTCACGGTCAACACAATTTTCTGATCTGGTCCTGGGCATTTCCTAGGTGGACTCAGTCTCAAATTAGTACCTGGTGTGTATATATATATATATAACTACTGGGGAGACAAAGGGGGCCAGTCGTGGTATCGGTCACCCACTCCCTTATATGCCGTGCCGCTCTTCATAGATGCTCCCTAACAGGCACTTGCACTACCCGTCTGTTAAAGGCTATACTGGTTTGGTTCTTTGGTTTATTGTCTCTATGTACACGTCTTTGTCTTTATGTATTGTGGATGGACGGTTGCTGTTGGAGACCTGGTCTCCGCGTGGCCCTGTCCGTCATGCGTCTCCTTCTGCAGTCGCTCGCTCAAAAGAGACTGCAAGTCAGCCTTCTCCAGCAGGCGCGTGTCTGTGGGGCAAGCATGCGCGCACAAACACAACGTTAACAAAGATCCCCCGTATAGACTTAGCAGACTGTTGGGGCTAGTGCTGTTAGCAACTATGACGGCCTGCACGGCGCACGAGGGAGTGGGTGGCCAACACCACACAGGGCTGCCTTTGTATCCCCAGCGGCGATGTTTACACACCGCACCAGCTACTCATTTGAGGCCGAGTCAACCTAAGGGAGGCCCAGAACCGGTTCAGATTTAATCGTCACTGGTGTTGGCCGTGAGCGGGCTGGGGCTGGCGGGAGAGACAGGAACCGGTGGAAACCCCTCCGCCCAGGACAGAGAGGTGTTTTCCGACTGTCATGCCAGGGTACGCTGGCCAGACCACCCCCCTTCCCCTCACCACCACTGATCCCCTCACCATTCCTCACCCGCCTCAATGGCGCGTCGACCGAGTCTCCCTTCTCTTGGTCCCCTCACTGATCCACTCTCAATTTCAACCTCCCCCCGAAACGTGAGCCTCCTCACCACTCTCCACTGAGTTATGCTCACCACTTCTGAGTCCCCTCACTACCCCTCTACACCTGCTTGGCAAGTCCCCTCACCACCAGCATTTTGTTATCCTCACCACTCCTCACCCCGCTGGGCTGGTGAGTCCCCTCACCCCGCGCGTCTCACCCCCTCGCTTGGTGAATCTTCTCACCACTCCTCATCCTCTTCCTTTGTGTCACTCCTCACCACCTCGTCACTCACCACGCGCCTCTCGTCTCACCCCCACCCCCCGGCGAGCCCCCCCGGCGAGCCCCCCCCACCCCCCGGCGAGCCCCCCACCCCCCACGAGCCCCCCCCACCCCCCGGCGAGTCCCCCCCACCCCCCGGCGAGCCCCCCCGGCGAGCCCCCCCCACCCCCCGGCGAGCCCCCCACCCCCCACGAGCCCCCCCCACCCCCCGGCGAGTCCCCCCCACCCCCCGGCGAGCCCCCCCGGCGAGCCCCCCCCCACCCCCCGGCGAGGCCCCCCCCACCCCCCGGCGAGGCCCCCCCACCCCCCGGCGAGCCCCCCCGGCGAGCCCCCCCCACCCCCCGGCGAGCCCCCCCCACCCCCCGGCGAGCCCCCCCACCCCCCGGCGAGTCCCCCCCCACCCCCCGGCGAGCCCCCCCACCCCCCGGCGAGTCCCCCCCCACCCCCCGGCGAGCCCCCCCCACCCCCCGGCGAGTCCCCCCCACCCCCCGGCGAGTCCCCCCCCCACCCCCCGGCGAGGCCCCCCCCACCCCCCGGCGAGCCCCCCCACCCCCCGGCGAGGCCCCCCCACCCCCCGGCGAGTCCCACCCCACCCCCCGGCGAGCCCCCCCACCCCCCGGCGAGTCCCCCCCCACCCCCCGGCGAGTCCCCCCCCACCCCCCGGCGAGCCCCCCCACCCCCCGGCGAGTCCCCCCCCACCCCCCGGCGAGCCCCCCCCCACCCCCCGGCGAGGCCCCCCCACCCCCCGGCGAGTCCCCCCCCACCCCCCGGCGAGCCCCCCCCCACCCCCCGGCGAGGCCCCCCCACCCCCCGGCGAGGCCCCCCCACCCCCCGGCGAGTCCCCCCCCACCCCCCGGCGAGGCCCCCCCACCCCCCGGCGAGCCCCCCCACCCCCCGGCGAGTCCCCCCCCACCCCCCGGCGAGAGCCCCCCCACCCCCCGGCGAGGCCCCCCCCACCCCCCGGCGAGTCCCCCCCCACCCCCCGGCGAGCCCCCCCACCCCCCGGCGAGGCCCCCCCCACCCCCCGGCGAGTCCCCCCCCACCCCCCGGCGAGCCCCCCCACCCCCCGGCGAGCCCCCCCCCACCCCCCGGCGAGCCCCCCCCCACCCCCCGGCGAGGCCCCCCACCCCCCGGCGAGGCCCCCCCCACCCCCCGGCGAGTCCCCCCCCACCCCCCGGCGAGCCCCCCCACCCCCCGGCGAGCCCCCCCACCCCCCGGCGAGCCCCCCCACCCCCCGGCGAGGCCCCCCCACCCCCCGGCGAGGCCCCCCCACCCCCCGACGAGGCCCCCCCCACCCCCCGGCGAGGCCCCCCCACCCCCCGGCGAGCCCCCCCACCCCCCGGCGAGTCCCCCCCCACCCCCCGGCGAGCCCCCCCCCACCCCCCGGCGAGGCCCCCCCCACCCCCCGGCGAGGCCCCCCCACCCCCCGGCGAGTCCCCCCCCACCCCCCGGCGAGCCCCCCCACCCCCCGGCGAGGCCCCCCCACCCCCCGGCGAGTCCCCCCCCACCCCCCGGCGAGGCCCCCCCACCCCCCGGCGAGGCCCCCCACCCCCCGGCGAGCCCCCCCACCCCCCGGCCCCTCACATCTCTGGATGAGCTCCCCGAACGCGTCGCGCGAGCCCCGGTCTCGCTGTCTCAGCTGCCGCGCGATACTTCTCCTCCATTCCGTCTCCATGAGAAGAAGCGCTCAATACATTCGCCACTATCGATGCTCTCGATAAAAAAAAACTAATAAAATGTACAACAGGCGACGTTTCGGGCAAGGGCCCTTCTTCATAACAGGGATACCATGAGTGCGCGCAGTGGTCACGTGCTCCCCAAGCGAACTTCTGCTTCCGGGTTACACCCGCATGTTTGTGATACATTTTTATATATTTTATAATTCATGCACGTTTTGCATCGCATTTCACCTCTCGGTTTTATCGTCACGGAGCGAATCCCTATAAAAATTTACAGAGTTTCAGAAAACAAATAAGAACAAATGCGATGACGTCACTCCACAGCTCTGGTTTAACAACAACGGAGGCGTCACAGGAGTCATAATCGGAGTTTAGGAACCTGTCGAGCGCTCCCCTCGGTGTCACTGTAGTGACGTCACTGGGATCGAAATCGGAGTTTAGGAACCTGTCGAGCGCTCCCCTCGGTGTCACTGTAGTGACGTCACTGGGATCGAAATCGGAGTTTTGGAACCTGTCGAGCGCTCCCCTCGGTGTCACTGTAGTGACGTCACTGGGATCGAAATCGGAGTTTAGGAACCTGTCGAGCGCTCCCCTCGGTGTCACTGTAGTGACGTCACTGGGATCGAAATCGGAGTTTAGGAACCTGTCGAGCGCTCCCCTCGGTGTCACTGTAGTGACGTCACTGGGATCGAAATCGGAGTTTAGGAACCTGTCGAGCGCTCCCCTCGGTGTCACTGTAGTGACGTCACTGGGATCGAAATCGGAGTTTTGGAACTTGTCGAGCGCTCCCCTCGGTGTCATTGTAGTGACGTCACTGGGACCGTAATCGGAGGCCGGGGCGGCCGACGGGGCCGGGGGGGCCGTGATAAAAAAGATGGCCGCCTGAGGCGCACGCTCCCAGCGGCTGTCACGTATGGGAGTCACGTATGGATTCTTGCAGTCACGAACACTTCAAATCTAGAATTAACCGCCTCTACGGGGAGGTATTCCACTTATCTGTTAGAGCTTTTAACAGATAACGGGACAAGAAGTCAAAGCTAATCGAGTCGCTAACCTTCCTCGAGAGATACCGCAACAATAAGATAATGCCCAGCACATTTACACTCACATCTGCTGCTGTCACTTCTCCGAACGCTAAACGGATTTTGTTTAAAGCTAGCCTATCACTAATCCCAGAGAGAATAAGATTGCTCCCATTTGAACTCGATAATTTAGACAAGATTCTCTTACAATCACACTTAATGTTAACAGAAAAAATGTCCCCTTCCGATTGGGACCGTGTTGACAACATGACAGTCTCCTCTGCTAATTAATTGTCAACCGAATGTAAAGCTAACTTGATCGCTAAATTCAACCTCCTGTCAAAGCCAGACCCACACATTAAAAAGTTAGAGTTTTATCAATCAGAGTAGCATCCCAATTTCTGACAATCTAAAATCGGTACTAGCAGTTACCCCTAAACATATCCCAGTGGATGATATAATCTCCCAGGTCGATGTAGCCCTCAAAGGCTTGGGACACATCCAAACAGGCGTTGCTAGAGCTGAAATTGCCACTATCCTCAAAAATGCTAAGAAACCCATTAGCAACATCACCAAAGACGAGCGCTCTGAACTCGCAAATTTAAAAAAGAGGGATGACATAGTCATTCTCTCGGCCGACAAGGGCAATGCCACTGTCATCATGGCTAAAACCACATACAGCAACACAATCCAGGACCTGCTCAATGATGGCAGCTACTCCAAAATCAATAAAGATCCTACTAACAGCCTAACTACAAAAAAACAACAATACCATTACCAATTCGACTTCTCTAATCGAACCAGTCAAACGGCTCTCCCTAAAACCTTCGGCTGCTAGACCACCCAGATTCTATGGTCTTCCCAAGATCCATAAAGAAGGCACCCCACTGCGGCCCATCGTGGCCACGATCAACTTACCTACCTACAAACTAGCCCGTTTTCTGTCTGATACCTTGCTTCCCTACACTGGCAAGACCACTTCAGCGGTACTTTATTCAGCTCAATTGGTCTCTCTAATCAAGGACATTTCATTGTCCCCTGATGATGTCCTAGTCAGCTTTGATGTAGTTTCTCTATTCACCAAGGTTCCAGTGCCTGACACCATAGCAATAATTAAACATGGACTGAACCCTGATGTCCCTGCGCTGGTTAGGCACTGCCTTACCAACACGTACTACACCTGGAATGGTACTTTCTACAAAAAAATTAGGGTACCCCCATGAGTTCCCTCTTGTCACTAGTGATAGCCAATGTTTTCATGGAGAAATTTGAAATAGACGCCATCCAGACATCCACCCTGTGTCCTTCCCTATGGAAGAGATATGTGGATGACACTTTCGTCATTTGGCCACATGGCCTACCAGCATTGAACCAATTCCTCGACCACATTAACTCCATACACCCATCCATCAAATTCACCATGGAAATGGAGAAGGATGGTAAGCTACCATTCCTGGATGTTCTGTTTGTGAAAAAACCTGATGGCTCTTTGGGACATTCTGTCTACAGGAAAGCCACCCACACAGATTCCTATCTGAAACCTGACTCCCACCACCATCCGGCACAGAGGAATTCCCTCATAAAAACATTACACCATATGGCCCACTGCATATCTGACCAACACCACCTAGCCAGTGAATTGAAACACGTACACCAGGCCCTAAAGATGAATGGGTATTCAGATCAAATTATCCACAAAGCTGTTTCTCCAACCATAGAGAGACAACCCCCTGTTACCATACATAGCAGGCGTTACCAAAAAGATTTCCAAAATCTTAAACAAACACAATATCCAGGTCCGATTCAGTACAGTACACAAGATCCGTGATCTAATCCCATCCATAAAGGATGTCATTCCTGACATGCAATACCCTGGAATCTACAAACTTAGTTGCATTTGTGGTGATTGTTACATTGGGGAAACGAAACGACATGTATCGGACCGCATTCGCGAGCACAAGGCGGATTTGAAACATGGCAGAACTGGACCTTCCGCAGTTGCTGATCACTGCTATAACGCGGTGGGCTCTCATGGTATTGATTTTTCCGAGACCAAGGTACTCTGCAAACCATCAGGCTACTATCAAAGATGTGTTCATGAAGCCATCCAGATATACAAACACAGACATAACTTCAAGCGAGAAGATGGATTCAAATTGAGCAATCAATGTGTAATAAAGGACTTCACCACACACTGCTTGGTCTCTGTCATTCTTTATTCTGGTTGACACTCGCACCCCACTGGTCCCGACAGCGAACCAGCTGCTCCTCGCGCGCACCCCGCACGCGCTCTCTCGTCAGTCCTTTCGCTTCCTCCGCTCCGCACACCGCCCTTCCGAACCTTACAGATCCGGCCGCCCCATAGCGCCTTGCTGGTGCCGCCTTTAGGTTCCGCCCCCACTCACCTCGCTTCCGATTGGACCCGAGGTGAGCGGCGGACCTTCACCTACGCCCCCATACTGGGCTTCGCCCCCCAATTCCCCGGGCCGTATGATTGGCCCAGAGCCCAGCAGCGAACCCCGCTTATGCTCGCATTACATGACCCCCCCCCCCTGATGTAAAGGACCAGCCGTCCCGGCTGAATCAGGATGAAAATAATGCGAGCGATGGCAACACCTCCAAGAACCACAACAGACACAATGGAGAACAACAATAACGACGAATACAATTAACGAAAGGGAAGGGATCTGGAACGAGTGCGAGTCGCCGGTCCGTCCTTCATGAGAACCGGCGCCCTTGGAGACCGCAGTCCGGACGGGGTTTGAGGAGCGATGGAACCGGAATCATCCGCCGCTGGTGGAGGCCCGTCCTTTGCAGAACCCCACGCATCAGAGAGGCCCGAAATCGGGGCCCCCTGCGCTTCCGCCACGCGCCGAACGGACTCGCGAATATGATCGGGGAGGGTTTTAACAGGACCCTTCGCACGCGTGTCAAGTTGCACCTCCATAGGCGGCACATTCTCGCGACCGTACATTAAAAAGAAAGATGAATACCCCGTCGACGCATGTGGTGCCATCCGGTAAGCGGAGAGCACTCCCGGGATATGCAAATCCCAATCGGCCTGCTTCTCGCTAACCGTATGGCAGAGCATGGCCGACAGGGTCCGGTTCAACCGTTCAACCATCCCATCAGTTTGTGGATGGTAGGGAGAGGTCCGAACTTTCTTAGTTCCCAAAGCGTCGCACACATTCCGCAGCAGGTTCGAAGAAAAATTTTGCCCTTGGTCCGTGAACAGTCATTCCGGCGCCCCCTTGTCCATCACGTACCCGAACAGGAATGCCTCCGTGATAGACGACGCTGACTGGTCAGGCAAAGGCCAAGCCATTGGCTATCAAGAAAAAAATTCAACCCCAACCAACAAAAATTTGTTCCCCCGAGCGGACGGGGGAAAGGGCCCCAGAATGTCCAACACCACCAATTCGTTAACCCGCGTCAATTTAATCGATTGCACCAGGGGAACATACGGTTGTTTGGGTGGCTTCTGCTGGGCACAGTCGGAGCACGCTCGAATGTGCCCGACAACGTCAGTCGTCATGCCGTGCCAAAAATAATCACGTTGCAACGTCAACAAGGTTTTCTGCACCCCGAAATGTAACAACTTCTCAGCGTGCAGAATCCGAATCAACTCGTATCGCAACGACAACGGAACGACAAGGCGCCAGTGACCCTGCAAGTCCTGTCTCTACAGCAACAATCCGTCCCGGAGAGCTGCTCCCGGCATCCCATCAGATGACGGATACCCCTTTGACTTTGCAGCCTGACTCCGCAAGGCCGCAAGCGAGTCATCGAGCATTTGTTCACGAACCCACACGGAACGCGGCAAATTCAAAACCCCATCAGCCGGCTCCGGACACGTGGAGGCCACGGGCTTCTCCACAGCGGATATGACAGGCCGCGGGGGCTGTGGAACCCACATGCACCTATTCGTGCCCGAGGCACACGCGCAGGCAGACCCATGCGACGGTCGGGAGAGCGCGTCCGCATTAGCGTGACGCGAACCTTTACGGTATTGAATGTCAAACGAGAACTCCTGCAAAGTTTCCAGCCATCATGCCAGCTGGCCAGATGGCTGGTCAACTTTCAAGGAGTCAGTATGCACTGCTGTAGTGATAGCAGGTACCACCTCA